AGCCAAGGGGGGACCGAGCAATGTCACCGGAGCTCCAGAAAAGCTGGTTCTGGTGTCAGAGGCAGGCTCAGTAAAGCCCCTCCATCACCCTGGAGAGCAGGAGGAGCAAAGCTCCCGCACTGTGAAGCCGTGTTCACAAAGCACAGTGGGCGCAGCTGTCTGACACCCTCCACCACAACGTCCTTTGGACTCCTCCAACCCAAAAGCATCCCTGGGTGGGAGCCTTCCTCCATCGCTGCAGCAAAACACCACTTTGGGGTTGGAAAGTTTGGTTGCTGACTGCCAGGCAGCAACCTCTCATGCTCCACCACCGAGCCCCCACTCAAGAGACCTTCAGGTCCCCAACGCCGCTCAAGCGCTTGGACAGATGCTGCTGCCAGGAGGCCGAGCCGCTCCTAGAACTGAGGGGTCAGCAGGTTCATCACATCGGATGTCTGGTGTAGCAACGGAGCTGCTCTTGGCCCGGTCTGATGGCTACATCACGAGGAGGATGAGGAAATTACTGGTGATGGACCATTAAGGGTTTCAATGGGACATGAAGGTTGTAAGATGGGGCATTTAAGTCTGAGGTCATCCAAGCGCCTTCAATCATCAGTGGAGAGAAACCGGCATCGCTGGAGGTGAGGTGCCCACCTCAGATACGTAAGACCAGATGAATTGTCCATCTAACTATGAAGGCCCGACTGCATAACAAGCATATTACTAGACAACCGGCTCTAATTACATACAATTAGGAGAGATGAAGGACACACTTCGAGCGTTGATGCCTATCAACCCCTGAAGGAGGAGGCCCTCACCCCAAACAAACAAGGCAATTACAAGCCTTGGGAGATGTCAGGATGTTGAAAGCCATGTCTGAGGGCACGGGCCGCTGCGCTGATACACCCACAGACACAAGTGCTTTGGGTCTGAGTGCTACCACTACCAGATAAGACCAGTTATGTGGTGCCGGGGCAAGCCATCCCTCTGAAAATGGTTCCTAATGCCGCGTAAGCAAAGCGTGCAGTGGCCTGCTAGGCTGCAGCACGTGTCAGGAAGGGAAAAAGGGGGAGAAAAGGGTCCTGAAGCAGCAGGACAGAGAAGAGGTGAGCTGAGACTGCTAAACACAGCCACAGCAGGGATGCTTCCGCTTCCTTGGCAGACCATCGGGAAGCTCCCAGCATGCCGCAATACCCAGAGCCACATCCAGCTCCCTGCCTGTGCCACCGCACAGCTCAGAGCCGTGCCAGCGAAACCAGTCCCTGCAAGGCCGGCGAGACGCCCCGGCCCTGAGCAGCCCTGGGAGGAATTTGCAAGGCCAGCACGTTGCACAACGCCGGTCATCCCGGCTGCGACCAGGCTGGTGAGGAGCACCCCAGGATATCACCCTCTGCAGATGTGACGTGAAGCCACAGGGGACTCCATGTGTGGGGCGGATGCAGAGGATGAAGCTCGATAACGCCGAGGTTCCCACCTCACATTGGCCTACGGGGGTTTTTCCCGGTTTAAGTGTACCAGGGATGGGGTTAGCGGCATCGAGCCTGCCCAGCAGCATGGTCTCTACGCATTCTCCAGGTAACCCTGGCTACAGAGAGCTCTGCAGCAACCCAGCACCTACGGGTGCGCCACACCAGCCCTGGCGCACATCAAGAGGGAGGCAGGACCCCGATGAGGAGACCCCCATGCCCAGAGCCCCACGCCTGCACCCAGGAGCATGCAAGACCCATACAAGGGGTATGAAGGGCCCCAAAGATGGGACCCCAGTGGCCAGCACCTGGTCCCCTCTCACCTTGCCCATGTCCAAGGCGGTGGCCTCCAGGATGTCCTGCTTCTTCTCACCCAGGAAACGTCCCAGGGCCTCCAGCTGGGCCATGCGGTACTCCATGGGCCGCGTCTTCCCCGAGAGCCAGGCTGCCCGCAGGTGGTTCACCAGCCCCGCGTAGGGGTTCCCGCTGCGGGGATGGGGCTGTCAGAGGGATCCCAGCCCCATGCCCGCCCCTCATGCTCCCGGAGAGGAGCTCCACATCACCCCAGCTCTGCGTCGCCCCAGCCCAGCATCAAACGGGAGCCCCAGAGACCCTGGGGAGTGGGCAGGGACTCCACACACCTGACTCTTCCCCTTGCTGCTGGGAGCAAAGGCTCCTTGTGCCCCCTACACGGCACCGTTCCCAGCAGTCCCTTGTCTCCCCCCTTGGGCCACGCTGGGGTGTGGTGGCGCAGGGACCCCAACCTTGTCCCCCAGCATCCCTCATCAGCACCAACCTGGGGACCCCATCACCCCGGCACTGCCACAGCACTCCCTGCCCACCTCACCCCAAGCACCCCATCTCCCTTCTGCCCCCAGCCACATGCCCCCGGTCCCTCGCTCTCACCACACGGCACTGCACATCACCGGTGCTTTCCCGATGCTTCCGCTGCCCCCACTGCCTGCGCTGCACCCGGCAGCTTTCCCGGCATCGCTGCCCATGGGGCTGCACTTGCCGTAGCCCAGGGGCTGCTGCCCAGGGGGCTCAAGGGGCTGTTGCATGCCAAGCTGTGGGAAGGAGCTGCTGGTCTCCACAGAGAGTGTAGTAGCCCTGGGAAGAGACACAGGGTGGGTTATGCCGGGGCTGGAAACGCCGGAGATGACAGCTCAGTCCCAAGAATCACCCCGCAAGACACCCGTGCCCTGAGCCGGCCGGGGCTGCCCGCGGCGCATTTGAAGGGTGGCTTGGTGCTCGGGGCTGTCCCAGTTGCGGGGTGACTCAGCCCAGCACGGCTTCCAGAGGCCCCGGTGCACCCGGCGGGGGATGCCTGG